GCGCTGTGGAACATCAATTTTAATTAAGATTGCTGATTCCATTGTGCGAAAAATGTTTTTTCCAGGTTCTTTCGCGGCTTTCATTTATTTCTGCTCTTGGAATGATGACAAGGATAAGCAGTCAGGTGAGAGTGAACGTAATCTTTGAGTATGGTACTTAAGACCTTGAGGAGAAATGTTGAATACCAGGATAAAAGTTGAAAATATTGGTGTCAACTCTGATTATTACAGATAATTCCCCCCCCCCCCGACTGATTTTATTTTTTTGGTGAATTGTGGAACTTTGAGGTTTCACTGTCACCATAAGACTTCCTCATTTTTCAGTCTTAAACTTTCATAATAAAGGACACTTTGGACTTAAATCTTTGCTTTATTCCATTACTTCAAGTTTGAAAAGACCCGTAAAGTTAGTGGTCCTCGGTCGCTGCAGCCATCTCAGTGGGGAATGTTGTGCCCATCGGACACCCCTGAAGGAGAGGTGAGTAATGGGTACTTAACATGGATCAATCAAAAAATATAATGTTCATCATAGTCTCGAGAGTGGGTAAAGGAAAGTCCGAGTTTGGCAAAGGATACAGAATACATAACACGGAACAGCTTAAAGTCCCTGTTACCCTTACAACCATTGCCCTCCAGGTTTAGTCGTAACAAGACTTTGATGGTAGCAGCTATCAAGTGTTAGTGCTGATCATTTTGTTGGAAATTCAGCAATAATCAAGGTGTATTAAAAAGGCGCCCACCCTTGTATTCACCTTGAAACGATTTGAGTGCTGTTTGAAAATTACTGACTAAGGATGTTATGTATGTTGATTAGGCCTGTGGCTTAGTGAAGAATCTTGCATTGATGACACATATTACCACAGACCAGAATGAAGAACCCATTATTCGCCTAGCTTATAATTTGGGAGTAGAGGTGAGGTTTTTTGCAGTGTCAGAAATTAGAGCTTGTTTTATGTGCCATAGTCCAAGATGTAATTGAAACTAGTAGCGGTTTGAACTAAGAACTATCAGCCAAATGGTAGAGTCGTACAATGCGTAAAAAATGAAGCCCCTTTCCCGTTTCAAATGCAAAAGCAACGGCTTTCTAATTAATTGGATTTTTTTTTAAAGTTAGACTGGCAAGAGTTTCAGTTGATCCAGAGACAAACCTCAGGAATGGGATCAAAAAAAAAAAAAAAATAGAAAGGGAACTTTTCAGCGAATGCAGAATCAGACCTTGAAGTGGAAGAATTTAATTTGTTTCTGTCACTTTTGCTCGTAAATATATCATAGTTATAATTGTACACAAGTCCAACATTACAGTCTGTGTTGTTTTCCAGAATTTGAATATGTTGTCCGGCGAGGAGATAAGCCATCCTTCAGTTTATCTTGTGTTCCTGAACGGTGAGTTGGATTCTTTCTTTATTCCTTTTTTTTGTCTCTTTGCCCTGCCATTTCTACAGTTAACCTGAGCTTAGTTTGTTTTACCCGGCTCTGCCGAGCGATTAATAATACAAAGAGTGAGATTTTATCTACGATGGCAGAAGCCAGCAAACTTAGGTAGCCAGCCCCTCAATTCAGGGTGAATCTTATTTCATGATATTTACTCGTTTTCTTGATGTAGTTTACGTTTGCGTTGATAATAAAAGTTAATTTTATGTATTAAGCCGCATTTCTCTGTCAGGTAACATTCTTGGTGTTGTAAAGAACTACAAGCGCTTGGTCGAAACGTTCCGTCTGATGAGGAGAGGTGAGTTTTCGAACTGGACAATTGCATGCAGGCTGCAATTTTTCAGGAATTAGTTGTTGTTATAATATACAGCTGTACGTGTCCTCGGCATTTCCATATTCTTTGGTCACGCTAATTCGTATGAAAAGGTACTACTTACACGAAGCGTGTCAAAAGTTTTGTTATTGCCTTGTTGACTGGTAGTTTTTGTACAAGCCTGTTCAGCAGTTCTTCGATCCCTTTTTTTTCCGGCCTGAAAATATTCAGATGGACAGGAGAAGGCGATTGTGAAAATAGGTTTAACGGACGGGAGGTTCAGTATGAAGTCGGGTTATTGGAGGGGCACAGAGGGAGGTTATGATGAAGAATGCACTGATGAGAGCCACAGTTAGAATATTGTGTGGTATACACCCCATGCACTTCGCAAAAGTTACAATATTTAGAAAGGAAATTTGTAGAGGTTTTCAAACACAAGTGTGATTTGTACAGAAACGTTTTTCTGTCCTAAATGAAGATAAGGATACCTTCAGTTTGTTTGTTTGTTGTTGTCTTTTTTTATGAAGAGGGGGAAGAGAAAGGGAACGTATTCAAAACTTGAAGCTCTAGACTTAGCGGCAACTTGCAAAGGAAAGGGGATTGGGTCTTATTAGGAAGGGAGCTTATTCTTAACTCCGACACCCCTTTTTGTCCTAAACATGTTCTACACTCCTACACATCTCAGCACACATTTAAAGATAATTTTTCCTCATGGTATTGTCTTGTTTCTTTTAGCTGGTTACATCAGTGAATTTGTCTCCATTTGCCCAAATCACCAGCACAGGTAGCTCAGCTTCCTAAAATGTTGCTAATTTGCTGTCAGTTTTGTTCAGTTGACCTTTTTCAACAGAGTAACCAAGCATTTTTTGTTGCAGATTTGTTAACATTGCATCTGATGGAGGACGAGTTTGCAGGTAATTCCATAGACGTTTCGTCCCCCCTACAACATCTTCGGTATCGTTTATAATCTAATGTAATGTGACTTGAACAATTTTTAGGCCTTACATTATTGTTAAGAATGGAAAACCTAAAGTGACTGATCAACACATTCAAGAACTCGTGCAAGGCTTCAGGTGAGAGTTTTTTCCTAGTTCCCTAGGTGTTCATATACATATGGTGGCGTTTTTGTCAACCCCTCGTGCCTTCCTTCAAACTGAAATATTAATGTTTTCACATTTTTGAAAACCTCCACTATTCGTCAGCGAGCACGTTCCAAAACCTTAGTTTTGCTTATCACCGAAGTCAGTGTAGATATAGCCTCTTTTCGATGACTCGGACTATTTTCAGCGCTGTTGATTCAAAACTTGCAAAGATCTTTGGTAATGTTGACCATGCATGTCACATGATCTGAGCATGCTCAAATAGACGTCTGTTGTGAAATAAAACACTTTGCAAGCTTTGCATGGAAAATGGTTCGTTCATCATGGCCTGTTTTGAGCGGCCATCTCTCCACTTATGGTTTAGTTACGGAAGGTTTGACTATTTTTGTTATTTTAGTACGTGGCCTCTTGTAAATATGATATTTTTGTTTTGTTTTGACCAGGAGCTTCGAAGATTTCTTACATGATGGTCTAGTTGAGTATCTAGATGTCAACGAGGAAAATGACTGCGCAATTTCTTTGTACGAGAAGGAAATTACAAAGTATGGCAAGACTGACTTAAATCATTTTGTAGGCAGCGTATAACATCTGCATCGCAGGGTTCCAGTTCGGTCTTCATTTAAGTTAATGGTTTTGTGCAAAAATCTACGCTTGCTTCAACTGAAGAGATATCGTTTTTATATACAGAATTTCAACGCTCTGCCGAGCCAACTGGTCGGTTTATTTTCATTATTGCGGGATTAACTTTGAACTGCAGGGATTGCTTACATTTGAATAAATAGCAATTATTCCATGAGCATGCGTTGGACCTCGTTGCCTTTACCAATCTCGTATCTAAAAAGCGCGATTAAAATCGTTGTTTTATTCAATTTCACGTTTGGATATTTGGAACGTTTTTTCAGCTCCGCAACAGTTGGCGCAATTCAATCCCATGCGAGGTGACTTGGGATATGAACTAATAACCGTAGTTTAGTGAACCAATGAGAACACTAGAAATGCAACATTCGGAGTTGAAAATTTAATGATCACTTATAGTATTAACTGAACTTGCTAAATGGTAAAAAGAGTGTCGCTCTCTTCAAATAGTGAATAATTGTATCAATTGTTTTCATGTTTCTCTAAAAGTAGCACTTGGCTTTATAGGGAGACAACACATCTTGAGATAGAACCGTTCACGCTGCTAGGGGTATGTGCTGGCCTTATACCATATCCTCACCACAATCAGTCTCCTCGGAACACTTACCAGTGTGCTATGGGCAAACAAGCTATGGGTGTGTACATTGTTCTGCTACTTTGCTTGTATCGGAAAATGGGGCAGTGGTTATGTAACAATTCTGGCACAGATATGAGCATATACACTAAGAAGGAAAAATACGAGTATGAGTATGCCTTCACTTGATACTATTAACATTGTGAACTTGTTGGTAGAGGCTTTATGTTATTATTTGTTATATTTGTTACTTTTCTATGCCGTTTTAATCTTTCCATTTTTTGTATATTTCTAGGTTCCATTGGGTACAACCAGCGTAACAGGTAACGTGCATTTCTCGTGTTAAAATAAATACCATAGTGAGCTTCTTTACAAAGAGGAGAGTTGTACTCGTTTTTTGCGCAATTGTACGGCTATAAGCAAATCATATTATATTAACTGATCCAGAGGGTACAAAAAGTTTCAAGGTTTTGTTTGTTTTGTGTTTTAGAATAGACACGCTGTTGTATTTCCTGTGTTACCCTCAGGTGCCATTGGTGAGAACTAAGGTAATTTTCTGTTAACCTCAAAAAATTGCTTCAATCTATGAAGAGATTAGGAAAAGAAAAACCAATTTTTCTTTATGGTTCCTTTTTTTTCAGACTATAGACTTAATCCAATTCGACAAGCTGCCGGCTGGTAAACTCTTTTTATTTCTCGGGCATTTTGCTTGTTGATTGGTCAGTTTTGTGTACCTCTGTAATGGTTTGTGAATGTTTATTTTTGTTGGTTTTGTAGGTCAAAATGCAACAGTGGCTGTTATGAGTTACAGTGGTTATGATATTGAGGTAAAGACAGTTCAATGAATTCCCCAAGTGGTTTACATTAGTTTTAGTATTAAGCTTCCTCAGATGATAACTTTAAGGTTTTTTTTTATTTCAGGATGCACTGATACTAAACAAAGCGTCTGTTGACAGAGGTACCATCAACCATTGGTGTTATACTGAAATTAAAACGCGTTTCCTACAGTAGACCGTTTTAACCCTGAATCAAATTATTTTGTCTCGTGGTACAGGGTTTGGACGCTGCTTGGTATACAGGAAGCAAACGTGTTTGTTAAAAAGATATGCGAATCAGGTGAATACCAAGTCAGATGTTTTTTTGTGATTTTTGAGGGACAGGTTGCTATAAAAGGAGAGACGAATCTGGGCAGTTTTGCCGCTAAATTGTTCGTCAATCAGATTTTTGACACACTACAGATTACTGCTGTTAACAAAGGAACAACAGGTTCTGTGGATATCTGTTAACGTGAGGATTTCAAACCCCATCTCAACCTCTGTGGTATCCTCGCTTCCTCTCGCCTCCAGGTTTCGTCTGTTGTTCAAAGGTGAAATCTCGGTGTAAAGGGCTTTTCGTATTTGATCGCTAGAAAGATCCCCTTTTTATATCTAACATATTTTTCTTTTCCTTTCTTCTCTTTTCTCTCTTGTATCGTCATCCTTTTCACTTCAATTGGATCTGAAAGACATTTGATCGTGTTATGGGTAAGACTCGTCTTCTAATTTTAATTTTGACTTCCCGTCGAAAGATATGCATGCCAATAGTGCTTTAGACTGTAATCATTACAGAACATCTTCAACCGTGATTTGGGGCAATACAAGGGTTTTCAGATTGCGACCAAAAACACTTGAGGGAGTAATTAGTTAGATCTAGAAGTACAAATTCGTTGCTGACTGTATTTAGTGCTTCAAGCAGTGAGTTTTTGAGTTGAAAACAATTTTGGAAATATAACTTGCAGCGCAGGTTGCCACTTTGGTGACCGATGTTGACATCAAGAGTAAAGAATTGGAAAGAGCCCCTCAAAAATCTGTTAATAACAACTCGAAAGGCCCAATACTCGCAGGAGGTTTTACCATTTACCTTCAGTAGTTGGAGATAGGAATAATGTAACAACTTACTAGCGAAGCACTTTATGTAACAAAGAGTTTTTTCTTCTCTCAGCTCAACAAAACTTACTTTCCTTCTGCTTTTAAAAATCAAGCTACAATAAGCAATGCACATTAAAATATACGGACTGTCAATCTTGGATAATAAGGAACTTCGCAAACCTCCGACATGTGCTCCTGGTAGACGTTGCGTTTGTGTTTAATGATGTGTTATGTGTTTCATTGATAATCAAGAGTGCAAGGGAAACAGGGAAAAATTATGATATTGTCCTAACGTGTGAACAAACGTAAACAACCAGGGAGGTTTATGTCGTTGAGCAATCTGGTAAAATCTGATAAAATCTGATAAAAAGGGCGTGCCCGGCAATTAAATAAGAACTTATTTAGTGTATGGACCAGGGTTTACCTGACCTTCGTGTTGTGAATTTTTCAGGTCCCAGTAGAGATGCAGCGACGGGTGAGGTAATCTGGAGACACAGAGCTCTTGACGCTGATGGAATTTGCGCTCCAGGTATTTCAGTTTATTTTGTTATCCTGTGTGGTGTATGGAAGATCTCTGGATTTGGATGTTCAAAGTCTGATGAACGTAACCCCAAGATCAATCCAACTTGAATTTTGATCCCAATTGCGTGTCAAATTGAAATGCCATCGAGGGTTTTCCTCGAAGTGCTGTTTATTGAGTTTGATAATTTTTACTTCACGTTGCCTTTGATTGGTTCGCAAAAACCGCTGTATCGTCTAAACCAATCAGATACAAAACAGTCTTACCTAGTATCTTTTTTCTCTTCTTTCTTTCTTTGTTAGGTGAGAGGGTAGAAAACAAACAAGTTCTCATCAACAAATCCATGCCTGTTGTCACTGCTTCAGGGCTTCAGCCAGGTATGGCCGTGCTATCGTTATTGTTTACATTTGAAAAAGAAAATCAGTTTTATTGATTTAATGTTTTGTCTGTCACAGTGACACCAGGTCAACCACCTCCCCAACCTGAATACAGAGATGTACCAGTGTCGTAAGTAAATTTTTTGATATGCATTATTTATTAGCTCCTATCACGGCATCATTTTCTTGGCTTTAAGGAACCTTACAGTTTTATTTAAACTTCCAAATTTGTTAATCGCTGTAAGCTCCTTTGTGGTCGTCTTTTCTCTTCATATGTAAAATCGTCCCAACTCGTGTTTTTATTCCCCTTTCTATTTGATCTGCTTATAGGTACAAAGGGCCAAAAGATATTTACATTGAGCGTGTGCTGGTGACTTCAAATGCTGAAGAGGTGGAATTTTGTTTATCTCTACAGTCATGTCCTTTAAGTACTTCAAATAATGACAAGTGTCTTGACGATACGCGTCAATAAAATAACTCAGTCTTCACTTAACAATATCTGTTCTGTCGTAATATTACACTAATAAGTTATTCGTTTTTCTTTGTTAGGCATTCCTCATAAAGATTCTTCAAAGACAGACGCGGAGACCGGAGATTGGGGACAAGTTCAGCAGTAGACACGGCCAGAAGGGGTGAGTTACACAAATAACAGACCATGCTGGCGGGCCTTGTCTCTTAACCCGTGGCTCCTGTGTACCGTTAGACGGCCACTGAGCATTCTACCCTGAGATTTGGGTCTTGATTGGTAACAGATATTGTAGAAGTTTCTGTAATTACTGATAATTACACAATTTTACAGCAGGTTAAAGTAATATTAGGAAGTGTAAAACCCAGCAGTAATCAATTGTTTGTTTTTTGTTTCAGCGTTTGTGGTTTAATCGTTAATCAAGAAGATATGCCTTTTACTGATTTGGTAAGAAAGTAAATATTTATCTCTGGTATTTGCTTCTTTCTTTTCCATTTACGTTCTACGTTTAGAAGTTTTTCCTTCTTTTTTTTTAGGGTATTTGTCCTGATATTGTAAGTATCATCTTTCTTTTGTCACCGATTCAGAAATTTTTTTGGATCAATTTCAGTATCCGGGCAACTGCCCACCTACCCCTCCCCTAACCCAACAGCAGTCAATTGATAATAACTTAGGGTGAATGTTGGGTTAGGGGAGGGGTAGGTGGGCCGTTGCCCAGATACTGATATTGATCCATTTTTTTTTTCTGTTTTGTTTGGTCTGGTTTTGTTTTTTTAAGTTTTCCTTCTAGGAAACAAGCAAAAATGTAAAAAAAATAAATAAATAAACGGAGAAACGGAAACAACAAAGCAACCTGTATGAAAACAAAAGAGAAAAAAGAACCAAAGAACTGTTAATGGAAAACCTGACTATCAGCGTCTTGTCTGGTTCTTCGTTGGTTCTGTTTCGATCTACACAGTGTTCTGTTTGGTTTGTAATCATTGTGGACAAAGCTGTTTGGATTAACAAATATTAGATGACAATAAATCAACACTTAAACTTTCAGAAGTGATAAACATGTGAATTCTCCCTTTCATATCCATACATTATTTAGCAAAAAGGTAATGAGAACTCGTCAGGTAGAAGTTGTAATCTTGATCAAACACTAAATTCTGACTAATTCACAAGGAAATGTGTAACAAATAGAGGGGCGAATTAACATTCAGATCTTGGAAGATGAAGGGTCAAGTTAACGAGATTTTTAGTAGTTCTACTAATTTACAACTGGTTTGTATGACAGATCATGAACCCGCACGGCTTTCCATCGCGGATGACTGTTGGAAAACTGATAGAGTTAATGGCAGGCAAAGCTGGGGTCCTCGAAGGACACTTCGGTTATGGAACAGGTAAACACTCAGAACGCATGAAACCACTTTTTTTTTAAGGTAAACCAAACATACTTATTTGAAATTAATACTTGTTTTCAGCATTTGGAGGCGACAAAGTGGAGGATGTTTGTGGTGCTCTTGTAGACCATGGCTTTAATTACTCTGGCAAGGAATTTGTCACGTCTGGTATTACAGGGTAAGTCATTTATATGGGTAACAGTTGGAAGTGAAACGAGTTTTCACGTTATAAACGCTCTGTTAGTGCAATTTAAAACGTTGGCAAAGTCGTTGTGATTTTCGTTGCCCTTCATCGTGCTTCTAGGAAGTCAGAACCAAGTTGTCTTAAGAAAATTTTTTGGGGGTTTCACTCGAAAGAAAACAGAAAATTATTAGAATACTCGCTCTTTTCTTCCCTTTCTTTTGATTCCTTTTCCAAACGTCTATGAACGCTCTGACATCTTTTTTCCTTAATGGACTTGACACCGGTTGTTTCGTATCTTTTTGTTCTACATATTCGCCAGATGATGGCGCGCAGCTGGCCAGAACTGACTCACTTAGGCTGGAAATGCCTTGTGTTTTACCACTGAGCTACGGTTTTTATACCCCTATTTGACTTGAATTAAAGCTACTTCATCCCTCAGCTGTGATTTAACGAAAACCCTGACAAATCTCCGTTACCCATGTTAGAGAGGGACTGGTATTTACTTATATAGTAGTAACCAATAAGAGATTGGAATTGCATGGAGCGCTGAACTTTCCGTTTATTTGAATATTTTTTTTAAATAAAAAGGATATGTAGTAGCCGAGGAATAGTGATATAAATAACATACTCATCACTGCCTAATGTTTCATTTCAGGGAGCCATTAACAGCATATATATTCTTCGGTCCGGTATATTATCAGAAACTCAAACACATGGTGTTGGATAAGATGCATGCCCGTGCTAAGGTTGGATTCATTGCATTCCTCAGTGACTGTATTAAAACGTTGTAAAACCTCTTCTTGAAGCTACTTCATCTTTAAAGACCATTAATCTAAACATATCATTTATGTTTTCGTTACACTAATTCTCTCATAATTTCTGTCAGCGAAGCCTTGAATCAAAGCTGATGGTAATCGAGAATAACCTTTCCTTAACATTTTCTTTTAAATTGATTAGTGTTGTTTTCTTTTTAAAAAAATCAATTAATCGTTTATTTATTGTTTATCTAATATGATACCTTCACTGGAGAAAAACACACTTTATCGTAGTGATTATGTTGAATTGATAATCAGCCAATCTAAGGGTACGAGTATAAGTCTACTCACTTTTGTCAAACCCGTATAAAGCGGGCATTAGCCCCAATAAGCTCCTATCTTTTGCTTCCTTCTTTTCCCGTCAGACGAAACTGTATCCGCGTGTCTCGTGGGTTTGAGCGTGAGCCGGTTTTCTGCCTTGTTAGAACGGTGTTGTATTTTGTTGTTACTGTTTTTCATGATTTTTTCAGGGTCCCCGAGCTGTGCTGACCAGACAACCAACAGAAGGACGATCACGGTGAGAAATACCTTAACCTTCTCTTAGGAAAAAGCCCAGTTTATTGTTAAAACTGTAGCTGTATGATAAAGTTCCCATTTGGGCATCGGAAAAACGAACGCTTCTGCGGGAAGAAAGAACAACAAGTGACAAAGAAGAGGGAAAATTCAGAAGAAGAAGCAAGCAAATCAGTCAGATGCCCAGCGTCACGCGCGAGGAAACATGTTCGACCAAACTGTTGTTATTTGTTCTTTTATATTTGACTTGACTCCGTGGGTGGCGCCTATCTCAATCCAAAAAGAAAGCAGTAATCGGCAAGATGTAACTTTACAGACAGACTCTTTGTAAATATGTTTCTTACGAACACTTGTTTGTGTTATCAGGGACGGCGGATTAAGGCTGGGAGAGATGGAGCGAGACTGTTTGATAGCTTACGGTGCCAGGTGGGTTAAGTAAACAAGAATAAGCCGGTCTTGATATTGAGCTGTGTATATTTTATAAGAGAAACTCTTCTTCCGCAGTACAGCCGAGATTTATATATGAGGGGGGCAGGGAACTTTGAAATGATCAATAGAAAACCTCCTGCAGAAGGAAAAAATGAAAAAGTTTGTCGCGTGAAGCTCAGGAAGATAAGGAAGAACGCAAGGAAAAATGAGACTGAAAATTAAATTCGAGCACAGAGGAATCAACCATCTCTTTCCTCAGAAATAAAATTGCATCTCCTTCTCTTTCCCAATTGTAAATACAAATATTTTTTCCCACGAACAGCATGCTCCTTCTTGAAAGACTAATGATATCAAGTGACGCCTTTGAAGTAGACGTGTGCAGCGAGTGTGGCCTTATGGGATACTCAGGATGGTAAGGATGTAGTGGCCAACACTATATCAGCTGTCTGTTTTAGTTTAGATTCTTGATATTTAAACCTAGTTTATGGCTTACCTCACTGGCATGTTTTTATGTCGCTCAGTTGGTTCTTCGTGTGAATGCGACAATTGAATCATAAGTGGAACTCGGGCTCAATAACTAACTGCTGGTCCTCTCCGAAGATTCTCTCTTCGGGGAAAAACGAATACCAAACAAATGATCCGAACACAGGCGAGACGGAAATCGAACCAAAAGGAAGTCAGATTGTGTTCTACGCTCGCGACAAATGTAGACCATTTTATAGCTTTCATAAATCGCATGAAAATTATCAAGAAAGAAATGGTCTTTATTAAAAGAGAGAACAGTTAGTGGATTTTTTTTCCATCCATGTGTTTTTGTTGTTAACAGTAGGAATGGAGTACAGTGTTGGCCTCATAGATAAGGAAAAATTTTGAAAACCCTGAATTGCAGAGTTTTACGTTTTACAAAACTTATTTTTAATGGCATTTCGTTATGAAATAACAGAAATGTGTACTTTCTTGGTGTGTTTGTGTCTCAGTGTGCTTGTCCATGGTAACTGACTTTTACTTACTATGTGGTTTTTCACCAAATGAAGCCGACCTAAGCTTACGTGTAGCCTTACCCTCCCCCCTCCCCAGGAGTAACGTTTCTCCTTGGGAGGGTGGAAGGTTTCGGCTACACGTAGGCCACCTGCACCGCTTTTAATTGTGTGAAATATTGCCATTTTTGTATGATTATGGGGTACGATTAATTTTATCTTGCATATTTGTTTTTGTAGGTGTCATTACTGTTCATCTTCTCACAATATTTCAACTCTAAAAATACCTTACGCTTGTAAACTTCTGTTCCAAGAACTTTTGTCCATGAACATAGTACCGCGGCTATCGCTAAAACACTACACGGATGAGTGAAGACGCCTTAAAATACCCCTATCATTGCCAGATTTATCACAGAGGACCTGGCAGAAGAATTGTAGGCACATATGGTAGGGATGGAATACTCTGCCAGTTGGCCAGTTTTTTTTGTTTGTTTGTTTGTTTGGAAACAAAATCCAGGGTAGGGTAACTCATACACAGACCAGTATTCAGGTCAGTTTCAAACACCTTTATCTCATTCACATGACCTCGCACTGATTCTTCACAATGGAAAAATTGTAGGTGCAGCAAAGGTGTTGATATGCCGCCATGACCGAACTGAGCACCTGCCACAGGGTTGCATTTGAACATGGAGTTGAATCGTCACTCTGATGTATTATTTTAAAAAAACAAAAATAACAACACAAAACAAAACAAACAAAAATCAACGGAAATCACCGAAAAACGAGGATAATTTTAACAACTTTATTACATTGTTAAGTTATTGAGTTTCCGTCAGGGGTTGGGTGGGTAATGCATTTGTAACAAAGTCCAGTCATTATAATTGTAGCATCATATCACATGACACAATGGGGATAAAAATACAACTAACTCGATCAATAAAAACCGTTTTTGCTTAGTCTCTGTCAAACTAACCCTCGAGAATTACTCATCCATTATCCGTTACCATAACTTGAAATAGGTTAAAAAGATACGACTGGCCTGGGAATTTGAATAAAAACAGCGGCGAGAATGTAACAACACAACATATTGATCATTATCGATTACTTGTGTAATTATCGGAACAATACTCATGTGTTCACGCTTCCCCACACGAAGTGTAAAGTCCCTAATTTTCCAAAAAATTGTTTCTCATTTTCATTTGGATATAGTTGCTTGTTCTCCATTTCTTGCTTAAAACGGATGTGCAGTTCTTTGGACCGTCAGGAGTCTAGGATTAATTTTAATTCCAGCAAGCTAGCCAGCCCATTTTCGATTTCCATTTACCCTCTAACGGCTCGACATCCTGCGTGGAATTTACTCGTGGACATTCACGTGAGTGAATAAATGGAGAGACGATGGGCAATTATTAAGTCCATAGGTAGACCTTTCCACTTGAGTTTCCACCAGCCAGCATGTTAACCGAGGGATGAAGGACATTTAAGGAATTCACAGAGTTGAGGTTCTCATGGGTTAAATGCATCAATGCGTTACTTTTTAGCTCGGAGGAAAAAATATCAATCTGCCGAAAAGAAGATCAAAGAAGGTTATCCACGGTAAGTGCTTAGCTGATTGTAAGTTTTAACTTGCCTGAGCATTAACATCCAAAGCAGGGGTTTCGGTAGCCTTCTAACGCACTGTATTTCGTTGACGAGAAGAATAATTTCGTCTATAAAAGAAATGTGGTGCACAGCGAATTTAAATTTTCATACGATATTAATAGTGATATTAACCTGTCGTGGTCTTCTCATGCTCCCAACAACCGCATATTTTTCAAATTTAGGATCCCAAGTGGCACGAAAACTAGTGAGCCAGCGTCCAACTTGATTGTCATGTCTGAAAACAAAAATTACACCAGAAACACAGGTGAGTAATAGTGCAAAGGGACTTGTCTTCACGAGCGGAACATGTACGAGCCAAAGCAAAACACGAAGACCTTGTGAAGCGTTGATCATTACTGTCTTCTAATACACTTTTTCCGTCTTCTAATTGTGAAAAGACGAGCGTTATTCAGTAGAGGGTCATAATGATAAACCAAATGAAAGTAGTCACCGAGGCCAATCAGAACAAAGGAAATATCACCACGATCCACTGAGAGCTCAAAGCGAACTCAGACACGAGTGACTGGACCTCGAACGCGGGAAACGAGTGAGTCAAGACCAGTTTTAGTTTGACATCTCATTGCTTGAGAGAAGGCACGAAATTTTACGACCAATCACAAATCAAAGTGAAGAGAACCCAACGTAATCCTGGAATGATTCTGACACTTGATTTAACTGTATGTTGTTACTCATAACGATGAACGCTCTACTGCGTCCTTCTTTGTTGGCTAACGTCGCGACTTTCCTTCTGCTGTTAAAGTACAGCAGCCCTTAATAATATGACACAAAACGATCATGGTAGAGAAAAGAGCTTATCAAACCAAACACGGACGGAAATGGAGCTGATCTTCTCAATTCGAATTACCTGAAACAACACTTGGCTGCAGTGGAGACTATACCAGAAGCGTCAACGTCATTGATACTAAAAAACAAAATAGAGAAGGCAATATATGGTTAGAGCTTCACTGTATCAGGTCAGTGAAGCTGCGCCTTGATGAACAAATATACAGCAACCCTTTCCCTTCCAAGTGGAGGCGCGGGGCCTGATGGTTAGTGCGCTCGACTCCGGATCGGGTGGTCCGGGTTCGAGCCCTGGCCGGGGTCATTGTGTTGTGTTCTTAGGCAAGACACTTTACTCTCACAGTGCTTCTACAAATTGGTACCAGCAAATGTGCTATGGACTAACATCCCATCCAGGGGGGAGTAGCAATACTCCTTGCCGCTTCATGCTAAGAAAACCGGAGTTAAGCACCGACCCCATGGGCCCATATACTACTTTACCTACTACTTTCCCTTCCAAGACTTGAATACAAAATATTCGCTATAGGCCGTCCCCTGTTGTTGTTTCTCTATCTTCTTATTACCTTTTTGTACGAAAATTTAGAGGGAAAAATTATCTATGAACATTCCGACCTGTAAGTGATGAAACTACTAGACTTAGCCGCACTCTCACAGGGGAAAATTCAATCTGCGCTATCACTTACGTAACGTAATCATCCATTGACGTCACCAACACCTGACTGCCAGTCAAAGGAGAAAAATAAGCTGAGGAAGTGACACGGGTTCGCTGTAAACTGCTCAACTTTGATTTCATGTTTTTAATGTTCCGTATGTCCCAGAATGCTACTGACCTGAAATTCAGGAGAAAAAGAGAAGATGAGAAAATTCCGTGGGTGAACACGGCTTACAAACGACTGATGGCTTTGGTGACTGTAGAATCCTACAAAAAATTCAAAACTGTAAGTGTCCGACTTAAAACGCTGTCAGAGAGAGAAGGAATGCCCAGAGATGGTTTAAAAAGGAGTGGGAGTGGCCGGTAGGCTAACGATAGGGCCAAAAGCTGATTTTCCCGCCTCTCATCCGTGGATTATGCTTCTGGTTGTTACTACTGTTCAATTTTATTAGTTCAGCCAACAACAAAAACAAATTCTCCCCTGTAGCTGGTTATCGGGAGAAGTTATATGTTAATCACGTTTGGGAGTTAAAGCACAATAGTGAGAACCCAGAAGGCCGAGATTGTACATATATCTCAAACCACGGCCTACTGCAAAAGCTTACCCGTCGGTGGAAGATGTGAGGAAAAGATTACGGTTTAACGGATGGACATCAACGCACTTGATAACTTTGTCATGAAGGCCATAACTTTGCTCTGCTATGGTTTTGCTGAAAGACATTGATTGTTAGTAATTGCCTGATTCAGCAACTCTGTCATTGAAGAGGTTGTTTCAAACTGAGACACTCTGAAGCGATATGTCAACCAAACAGCATAGACTATTTTCGACAACGTGACCAGGATGGACCAATCAGAGACGAGTACGCATAGAAAGATAGATTAAGAGAGATGGCAAGTTTTGAGCTCGCTCAAGAAATAGAGAAAGACGTACTTCGTCTTGTCACGGGCATGGGATAAGGCAAAAATTCCGAGTACTCGTGAGGAATCGAACCTCAGACCTTCGGATTCCGCGCTTTAATGCTCTACCACTGAGCCACCGAGACCATACGGTGAGCGGAGTCTATTACGAAGCATTCTTTTTGGTTTTTTCGCTTACTTGACGATGATTGGTCCAATTTGGGCAGACGGTTAAAAACACTCGATTTCAGCTTGGAAACACCCTGGCTAGTTTCACTTTGCTCCAAAGTATTTGCTCCTTAACTTTATTGTGCTGGAGAACACAAATGTTTCCTCAAACGTAAACTGAACATCATATCGGTGAGATTGTATAGGGCGGTATCGAGCCAATTGTAGGCACAGTAATGTCAACAATCTTACCTGTTTGTTCTTGTGTCAACTACCATGACATAACCAGAGTCAGTCGCCGCTAAGATTGTACTGCTGCTGGGCGAGCCAAACGCAAAGTACATGAACCTGGAATAGTCGTCATCATCAAAAGAGTAAACCTGAAACGAAAGTCAAATTGGAAGACTGAAAAACGCGTTAAAATTTGAAACTTTTCTGTGTGCTGAAGTAATGAGTGGCTACGGCGCACCCAAAACTCGCCGCTACACAGGACAGTTGAATCTTATCTGAAATTCACTGTTTAAATGGACGACAGCAATTAGAAAATTAACAGGTGAGAATCGCATAGGCAGCCAAGGTCACATTTAAAGTGCTTCTGAAACTCTGGAAAGTTCGTATTTTTGTCGGTTGTCAGTTGCAATTTTCAAAAAAAGTTATAGTATCTCATACAGCTGTACACTTTCCTGCTGCAAACAAGCTTTCAAACACACCATTGGAACTACCCCTTGGTAGTCAAATTAAGAGTTGACATCCTTTCGCGTCTCTTTATGATTGGAATATCCCAAATTGATGTCATATCTATGTTACCTCCTGAAAAGTAGCCGCCCTGAAATCGCCGCACCGCAGTGTTCCATCGTAGCTACACGAATAAAGTTTTCCATAGTTTCCTGGCTCAAACGATATGCAGTTGATAGGACGAGAATGTGGTTCAAACAGGTACACACCATCGTCTCCCTTTGAAGAGTCCTAGAACAAACATAAAGATGTGTCGAAGGTAAAAAGGAGCTGGAAAATTACTGTACCTCAGGGAATTGTCCAACATATTTTCACATGGCATAAAGGAGAAGTGTGTTCCTGAACTGAACCATATAATTTTTATCTATACCATTTAAAAGTATATGCAAAAATTTATTAATAGAATTGTTTCAAGATTTTAAGGAGGAGACTGTCATTTTTCAAACAGTCCTCCAATGTAATCCAATATGCTGAAAATAAGACTTAAGATGCCACCATTTAGTCAGGCAGGAACCAAAACGTGCTGCTCACAAATAGCTTGGTAACCAGCCAACTGTGCCAGTTTTCATTTAGCTTGCACCCCATTTCAAATTAGCAACGTCAAAGAGTTTGACTTCAGCCATGTTGTGTCCTTAAATCTGTTATGTCATTGGTAAGGCAGATTTCGCAGCAATTTTCAAAGTTGTAACATCCACAATTAACTTTTTAACTCATTGATATTCATGCATGTTACTCTTCAGAATCTAAAATTGCATGCCACAACATCCTAATTCTTCTTAAACTTAAAACCAATTTCTTACCACATCCCATATGCCAAGGTTCCCCCACTTGTCCCCTGCCAGTACAAGTGTTTTGTATTTGGCAGGATGGAAAGCCATCGAAAAGATTCTGTGTGGAACAAGTTTAGCGACATGTCCTTCTGTGATTTCTAAAGATTGCATGGCCTTTTTGTAGCTGAAAAGAGAGAGAAAACTTTTGAGTTTAGGGTTAGATTTTGGGGCAACCACATCTAACTGAGTCTGAATCCCATCAAAGGTCATATCTAGTCAGTTTATCTTATGTAGCAAGTAGCCACCTCTATAGAGAAGTACTTATTCCTGAATGATATAAATTTTTTTAATCAGTGAAAATTATGTACGTTTTGCTGCCCCAAGCAATGGAAATGAAAGCTTGCTGCAATCAAGCCTGGTGAAGCTTGTGGCATGAGAGAACTGGACTTGGCAAACAATACCAACTACAAACATCAGGTGAGTACGAAACAATTTGTCATAGCGCTGCCCATATATGTAATCAGTATCCTAGTCTTGAGTTAAGATTTAACTTAAGGAATGTAAGTTCTCTAATGGATATAATGTACATGTAAGCATCCAGGCAAGGACCCTATTCAGTTCAAATCTTATTAGTTGACCCTGTCAACACTGCACTTGATCAAGTAACCAACCTAACAACATCTGGGTCTATAGCAGCATCATCATCCGCATTTTCCTTTGACTTTTCCAGCTTGCGAGAGACAAAAGGCAATCATCATCAGCTTATTATAAAATGAAATCTTAAGGGGAGGTTCTTGGGAAGAGACAATTGTCAAAAAAAACTATTTATTGAAAAAATAAATCAACACAATTAAACACTGACATCAATTTTGCAAGGTGAAATATGTGTAGATGTTGTAAGAATAATTATGCCTTCACTGGTAAACTAGTTTAGGTTGAAAATGCAAGTTGATCAGTAAGTTAAGATTAGCTGTCCAAGTTAATCAAAGTTAATTATCACAACCACTGTAAGTGGCCAGAGATCAGGTAACAAGGATGGGAAGGAGTAAAAGATGGCAGTTTTTCCACACTGGGTTCATTTATCTCATCCACAGGAACCATTTGGCCTCTGCAGGTGTCACTCTCTTTTTAGCAAGTGACCACATGAATGCTGTATCTTAAAAACACATTGTACTTTTAACTGACCTATAAATACAAAAATCATCTCAACAGCAAGATTGAGACCAGAAGTAACTGCCTAAAATTGGCATCATTCAAATCCAAAAACAGAGGAAGATGCCACCCACAGTACCTGTGAATCCAACTAGTACCTTGCAATATGCTTAAGACTTACTATGTTTGCCAAGACAGTCAGTTCATCAATAAATTCCTGTGAATGTGTCTGCTCAACATTATTACAAGGCTTCATTTCCAAAGGTCCAATCTTACGTGGCTGGAAGAACAGTGAGTAAAAAAACCTTTTCAAAGTTGATGTAAGTACATTTGTATATATATAACCTTATAAAGTGGAATGGTGAAAGTTTTGTTGACTATCATTTTACAGCTTGTTGCTTTATGACCTTACTTACAGAATCATAGACAGTTTGTGATGCTATCAATGAGTTAATATTCTTTAATCCAACAGCTTTAAGTGCAGGTTGACGAAAATATCGAAAAGTTCTCTAAATGAAAAAGGGCAAACAAAAGTTGTATCAGAGAGATGCATTTGATGTGGAAAATAGACCTGGGAGACCAGAATTTAAGCTTGAACAAATCTTTATTCGCAAAATTGGCTTTTGTGGAGAACCAGTAGGTACATCAAGTGTTAAAAAGGAAGTCAAAAGTTGAAAATGAAAAGTATTATGAAGATAATGATGAATAGCTCTTTTTTGTAATTGGTAAATTAATTGTTCCTTAATTTTTTGTGTGTGTTGACTGGTATGATTTAGTTTACCCAAACAATGGCCCAAAGTTTAATCCATGGTAAGGTGACCTGAAATATGTTTGTAGTTTGCACACAAATTTTAAACAGAACATTTAAACAACTTCTCACATGTTCATCAACAGTTTGGTAGATCTCAGAACTTGATGGCTCAGGAAGCAATTCACCACTGGGGTCTTTCTTGCGAATACGAAGTGACTGACGTGTGGGAAGTGCAGGCACAGCTTGTGTAGTCTTTTTGGGCCTGTAAGAAATATCATAGTAGTTCTGTATTGGTCTGAATGGCATGATTCCTTTTTTCAAATTGAATGTTATAATTATACATATCTACCTCTCACTAATTGAGTTGAAGGTTTGTACTGTAAGATGCAGACTGAGAGAATGAGATAGTAAGATAATCACTATATTTCTTGGTTCAAAAAGTAAAAGAAAATTTCAGTTCAATCAAACCTTTGAATTTAGTGGGCAGTAAAGTGAAATATTGCCAGCCAAATTGACCAATCATACTCACTGACAGCAGTGTTCTCCTTTTCAGGCAGTAACCGGTAACATTTACCACCTTTAGTACCTCTTAATACCGTTTAAAATTGCTTGGAATTCTTGAAAAATTAAACAAGTAAAAGGATTGCTTTACTGGTTGGAAAATTTATTTTACCTGTCATGCTTAAAATAAGGGAGAACCCTGTGACAGATATAATAAATCTGTGTATTAATCATTTCCTAAGATGAGTTTTTTGACTACAAATACTTGGTTTCTTAGAAATTGTGTCAAATAATTTGTAATGTAAATCTACCTTGTCAGCCCTCTTTCTTTCACTTTTGATGGAGTGGGCCTTGATACAGCCTGGTTAAATTCATTCTTCACCTAAGAAGGGGAGAGAAGATAAAAGGAAAAGCAGAAACAATGAGTAAAAAAAAATTCTGCACTCGAGTGACATCGCCCAGTGATCCAGCTAGAGCTTTTCACTGTTTCCTCAGCCTGGAGTAACTAGGAGTATCACTCCTGCCCCCTGGATGGGATGCCAGTCTATTCCATGGTTACCCCCCCTTCCCCCAGAATTTCATCAGGTTTCTCTGACAATTTTCTGGTACCCATTTAAATTCTTGGGTGAAGAGAGGCACTGTGTGAGTATGTTTTGTCCAAGAACACAACACAATGACTTGGACTTCTCAAGCAGGATTCCAGCACAGTAAATATAAGGGCACCAAGTCTCCCACACACAATGAGTATGCATTTTATAATTCAGTCTGCTCTGATAAATTGGTATTGCCACTCTTCTTTACTGAAGTGTGATATGCCTTGATATTTTGATGCATAGTCAGTGAACGTGGCCCTACACTTCTGATGACTAAGTATTCCTCAGATATATATATATATATATATATATATATAAATATATGGGTATATGCAAAAGCAAAATGGCATAACAGCAAAGTCATTACCTCGGTAAGTTGAAGGCCATCAAAAAATTCACTGTTCTGTCTGATATTCTCCAGACGCTTTTTCTCATATTCTGACAATTCCCCGCTGCCATGAGCATTCTTAGGCAAACACAGAAGATGTAAGTAAGATTGTCAAATAAAATTTACTGTCATGCCCCTTGAACTTAAAAATGATTATGTAACACAATTTCGAAATGTCTGCATGGTACGATTATAATGAAAACATAAACAGAAAGCTTTAGCAATCATAAACAACAAACTGATGACTGTGGATGAAATTCATTCATTGCTAATCATCTGGCAATTTCCCTTCCCACAAAGTTTCTTTTTAAGGTTAGTAACCCGACAGATGTATATTCATAGACACAAAGATTTGTACATACATCCCCAGTTCTAATTGCTGTATTACGGTAAAATCGAAGCTGAGTTTGTTAGATTTCTTTAAACACATTATATTATTGCCGGTGCCTTACAGGTATAATTGCATACTGATTCATATTAAATAGACAGTTTCTGATTCCCTGACTGAAGACTGTAACAGCGAACCCTTTGGTTTGCGAATTTTGCCTCGCTCATGTTGATCAGGGTTGGGTAATGAATGATCCGTTCAGCGGAAAGTCAGATGACTGATCAATACAACAAAATCGTTTTACTCGACAAGCTATGCTCGAATACCTCTTTTAGTCTCTTTGATTTTGGTGACAGTCCAGGACTTGAATCGCGATGTTTCTTCGGCATTATTGCTGATCGAGTATTCTTTATGAGGTAATTGCATAATAACTAGTAACAAAGCCCCACTGTAATTTTTCGCGCCAAATTTTGGGAGCTGATATTCCTCCTGTCCCTCTCATGGTGAAGTCACTGAAGTTAAACATTAAGATAAAAACATGTCGCCACCATTATTCTCCATTTTTACCAAGAATTAAATTAATTTGGCGATGGTCTCGAAATAACGTGAGTGCTAATGATCAAATAATTGATGTAACAAATAGTTTAAGTGGATAATAGAAATGATTACTTAGGGGAGAGAGTTGGGGATCATTTTTGTTGTATTTGACTAAGCTCAGGAGGCTTGGCTGCTAATGATGCTTTAGAAACCGAGTAACAGTAGAGTAACAGAGTTCGTTGTTAGCTTCGAAAAAATTTGCATACGATCGCTACCTCAAAAAGTTAGGCACTGAATTGAAGGTGTTTTTTCGTACAAAAAGCTGTCTCTTCAGTGGTGTTGGAATATATGACGAATTACCAATCAGGTGAAACTTTCATAGAGAAGACATTTGAAAAGAACACTGGCGTGACATACACAAACTTATCGTAACTTTGCAGACGACAATGAATTGCTTTGGCATGGAGACTTAAATGTGTGACTTCTGTTCAAACACATTTCTTTGAATGTATCTCACTCAGGTTCGAAACCAGATTCCTGACTACGATTAAAAGTGCATTGTTGACAAAATACTTTCGTAGATATGTTTCATTAAATTTCTACGTGAGGTTTCTTGTTCGAATTCGTCACGATATATCAACAAAGAAGATTTAGTGGTGCTAGAAAGTTGTTTATCAGTTGTGACGGATAAGACTTGGAGAAATGCAGAGCTCCGAAGCTGTGAAAAGTGTTTTTCAGGATACTCATTTGTTATCTACAAGTCTAAATCGACCAGAACCTACGCGATATACCAAAACAACAACTAATCAGCGACCAAGACCTGTGTCAGGTGAGTTATTCATCGTAAGCTTCTAAGCTAACAACCTAGCGTGTTTATTTGTTTATAAACATTCAGTCAGAACAAGTGGAAAGGCTTACGTTAGACAGTTGAGAGGATTTTCCCAGATAATGAAAGACTGATTTCAACTGTTGCTTAGTTTTCATTGCGATACAATACGTATTTTAATAACTTTTCACTCGCCTCTTTCACACTGCTTAACATACAAATGTACGCGCTCTAATTAGACAAAAAAAGGAGGGTGGACTTTGAGTTCGGGAATTAATTGAGAGATGTTATTCGTTTGTAAGGAAAGAAACTGTCACTCCCAGAACCCCACAAGGATTCAAACCTCAGACTTACGGATTTCGCACACTTGAGGCTTTAAGCTGAGTTAGCCATTCTAAATTAGTCTTTATATACTTGACAACTGAGCTCATTATTCAACTCTTTCTTCGTAGTATAAAATTACATGACACTTTGGACATTGTTGATCCTAACAGTACTGTATAACGCAGGGTGCTTTTCACGTCGCCTATAATTTAGAAATCATCAAGCTCACTTCCTGGACAAGCCTGTTGACTGCAAGTGAAATAATATTGCCGAGAAATTTGGCATAAATTCCCAAAATGTTGCATTACAACACACTAAGGCAGCCAATTTTTCCTACACCATTTGGGAAAAATACTGACAGTGTGTAACCTTTCTTGTTTATAGCGCCCCCTGCCAGTCAGCAACCTCGTTGGAGACACCCAAACTCACCTGAACCGAAAAGGGCAAGAAAGTTCCATGTGAGCCTGTACCACACCCCATTTGAGAGCAAGACAAGTAAAAAGGCTCCCTTTGCTCCAAGAGCTACAATTGGCGGCAGTTCCACTCTGCGTGGAAAAGACTTTTCTCCAGCAACATATAATTCTCTAAGTGACCCTCATTTGAACCCATACTTTTCTAGAAAGTTTGGAAAAAGTGCATCTTTGAGGGAGTCAGGACCATCTAAAACAAGGGTGTGTGTAACTTTTTAGTGTTTGTTCCTGCTGAGAAGAATTTCATGTCAAAAGAAAATTCAATTGATTGTGAAGGGTCATGGCAAATGAATACTGTATATATTACATCAGAAATAATTAGAGACAGTAAAAATCAATAGGAGAACTCAAATTCATTTTCAACTGCTAAAAACTCACTCTGACGAAGGGCTAACGCTCGAAACGTCAGCTTTTTTAACCTTTACGGTGGCTAATTTACGTTTTCAACCCAGTTGTTAACACTAAATTACCTGCTAAAAACTCAGCTTCATATAAATTGTTAACTGAGATGATGTTTGAAAGAGACTGCTGTCAGCCAATTTTACACCCTATCATCAGAATGTCTTTTCCTCATACTGTTCTCTACACATTTCCCAAAGTGCTTACAAGGAGAATTTGATCAACAATCTGGAGCATCTTCAGTTGATAATCATTTCCTAAAATCTTGCAACTTAAATGTGTGATTCAGTGATGATGTTGTAAGGAGAAATTAGATGCTGGTCACCAATAGGGTTCAAGCTTTGAAAGAAAAAAAGTACAAATGACCCATGGGTTTGACATAAGATGAACAAGGCTTGTAAAGTATCTGAATTAGGAACAGAAGGTAAAGTTCCTTCTCCATATTAATTTTTAAGTACTTAATATGTACTTAAACTATAGTAAGACAATTAGTTATTTAGGAATTTCATGTGCAGTTCATTTTTGGAGGTAATGACTTGAAAATTGTGCATGCAGTTAGTAGTATTAATAGTGTAACCTTAGAGCTTAATATGTTTGGTTTGTGATTTTTTATTAGGGAAGACGAAGTACCAGTGGAAAGACAAAGAAAAAAGGTTTTGAATCAAGATTTTTCTTCTTTTTTTATGAACTTTAAACATATTATTTCACAAGTACAGCTGTACAAGTCATGTACCATGTGCAATAGTAGCAATCATGTATTTTCATTAAATAATGACGTCAATTTTAACAAATAGAATGTAATTGAACTAAATTTGCTTGAAGGGTAAGTGTTCACCTTGGTGATATGTATGCACTGGTAAATATAACTGACCACTCTCCAACTGGGCATTTTATGTCCAAAGTAAACAATCAGAGATACAAGTAGAAATCCTAGCAGGCAAGAGGCAAACATTTAGCTGTTAGGAGACTGCAGGGAAGGATTACAATGTTGAGAAATCAAGAAAACCAGATTACATACCCTAACCCTCTCCCCTCATCTTTCTACCATTTTCCCTCCACAAGATGACATTCCCATTGAATGCAATTTTCAATCAATATATTTTGTGCAGGTGGAGTTACATTCAAAACTGTAGTGAAAACTGGAGCCAAGAGAAATGGTGGCACAGATGCAAAGGTATGAGAGAGAGGGATGAGACATTCTATAGTCTTGCAGTTTAAATGTGCCAGAATTACTAATTTTGAAATTATTAGACCAGTTTACCTGAGGTTTGACACCCTCACTTGTTTTATTAGGTGACTTATTTTATATCACTGTACCAGTACATGTAGTACGATTTCTGCCCAAATCACAATAAAAATGATGTCACAAGCTAAGCATATGATGCAATGTATATAATTATATAATTATATATAGCATGTAATTGCAGCTATCACTCCATGTGGTACTTTGCAGTTATAGCCTTTATTGATTTACAGCATTATCAATTAAATATCACAAAAAGATTTTGCTTTCTTAAGAATCAAGAATGACTTTTTTCATTTTGAGAGCTAAGAAAGAGAGCCAACTGTGTTTGTAGCACAATAGACCCTGGAGAGTTGTTTATGTCTTCTTTCTTTTTCAGAACACAAGATTAATGTTGATATTGTCCATAGGTGCTTCCAGCAATTTAATGAATAACTGTATTTGATTTGTCTCATAGGTTTTTGCAGAATTTCGGGGAACAAAAGGCAAGTTTACCAGACAACTCACTCACCAAATGGATTCTGCTGTACCATCAGCCTTTATAGCAACATTGCCACCATTCCAATTCCACTCAGGAAGCACTGAGACTTTTACTGTGAAGGGACCTGATATTGGTGACCTTATACAACTTATTATTCAGGTACAAGACTTATATTGACCAATCTTTCACTGCTAACATTTAAAAATTAATCCCTAAGTGCACGTTGGATATGAGGTGGGCTATAACCAATCCCATATTCAACAGGGGTGAATGGAATAACTGTTTTACTAAATTTCATTAAATCCTGATTGTTTGTAATGGATATTTGGAGCCTTTTTTGGGCTTGGCAAAAGTTGGAGCAATGCTTTTCCATATAACTTGGGTCAGAATATGAGCTGCTCCTATGGAGAAGATGTTTTTTCCTTCTCACACAGAAAAAACTCCTTATTTTTCAGTATCAAAGTACAAGACAATACATCTAGACATGGTACAATAATACAACTCACCAAACTACTGTTACCAAATTACTATTAACAAAACATACAGTCATGTATTTTTATTATTAATAACACACACCAAAGATTAGAATATGAATGAATTTGTCACATAGCTATTAATAATTTTAATACAGTATGCCCATTTTGTGATTTTGTTATGAAGACTTGATTGTGCAATTTTTTTTTTTTTCTTAGCATGATGGCCGTGAGCGGAAACAAGGATGGTTCCTGGATGAAATCCAAGTGACAAACCCTCAGAAATCAAAATCTTGGACATTCCCATGCTATCAATGGTTGTCACTGTATGAGAGTGATTGTCAAGTAAAACGCTGTTTAAAACCACTGGTGCACAAGAAAGCTGAAAAAGTTGGTATGTTGGCAGTTACATGATATATATATAATTCTAAATACCATATTTCCTTGAAAGAGTGTGCATGTGCTTATTTAAAATCTCAGCTAAAAGGGGGGGGGGGGCACTTTTTGGAAGGAGGGTGCCTAATTGAGGGGTTGATTATTAAGTAAGTGCAGCCGTAGAACAAAAATCAAAAGACAGATAATGCACCTACACATAAAGGAACTCTGCAAGCACATAAAGATAAAAATACATGTAACTGGAAAGGAAAAAAAAAACTATTCTCCTGTAGTTGAAGCATAAAAAGGTATAAATAAAGTAGCAATAGAATCAGGCTTTCCTTTTATTCTTACTATTTAAGAAGGTGAGGGAGGACAGGGTGGGGGCATTTATTCAAGGGGGGTAATTGTTTGAAATTATGGCTTTGGGGGTGGGTGCTTATTTGGGGATGAGGGCTACATGTATATAAAATTGTGGGCTTATTCAAGGAAATGGGGTAATCATTGTGAAAGAATTTGACACAGTACAACATGTACATTAGGGCATTGTTTTGTCCATTGATAACACACTGTACATGTACATTGTACTCTGAAGCTACCTACTTTAAATCATTTGTTTGATTGACAGTTTACGTAATAGAAGTATACACTGGGGACAAAGCTGGTGCAGGGACAGATGCTCATGTGTTTATTACGTTGTATGGCAAGAGAGGACAAGCCCCTAAAACACAACTTATCAGCAGGTACAGGTTTTAGATTTTGGTTTTTTTTATTATTATTGTTATTTTATGAACTTGTTGCATGCATTGTTCCATTAGATAATTAATCTCCTTGCATGTACTATTGGCCATTACTTGGTGTCATTCTTCCCTCATAGACTAAAACAGGATTCAGCAGTTATTTTTTTTCCAAGTTAATTGGTTAGTTTTGAATTCTCGCAAATAATTTCTGCCATTTTCCTTTTCTGTTCTTCTGCACCCAACAGGACTGATGATGCTTTTGAAAGGAAGAAAAAAGATGTTTTCAAAATCAAAACAACTGACCTTGGATCCTTGAAGAAGTTAACGTAAGCAGTCTGTACAAAAAAAATTATTTTTCTATTGTTTGACGTTAAAAATACAATTGAAAGCAGCTGCATGAAAAAACAAACAAACAAACAAACAAACAAAAACAAACAAAAAAACAAAAATTTACATGTAAGTGATACTGCCAATACTTATGTATTGCATTGTGGATCTTAGCAATTGTGGAGTGAAATTAATATTTGCAGATGTAGTGTTAAATGCTACTGATGATAATATTAAACTGATGAAATTCTTAAATCTCACATTCTTTTATAAACCAATCAGTTGCCTTTATCTCTCATAATTTTCATTGACCGTAAGAGGATTAAATATTCTTTTGTTTTTCATCATTTTGTAGCGTGGAACACGATAGTTTTGGTTTTTCTCCAGGATGGTTTTTGGACAAGGTACAGTACCTATGTTTTGAATAGCAATACACTAGTTGGAAGTCTATTTGTTATACGAGACAGCACTGAAAATTGCACTTTTTGAGAGTAAAAATGTTTGAACCAGCACTTACTACTGTTGTCATCTGGATTTTGTTTTCTTTTAACTCTCTCAGGCTATTCATTTACCCTTTTTTTAATGATAATCACCTACATGTGTGCAAATTTCTTTCAGATAATAGTGTACTGTCGTGAGAGAGAAGATCAGAAATTCTATTTTCCCTGTAATCAGTGGCTGGCCAAGGATGAAGGTGACGGAATGACAAGGAGGCAGCTGACGGCTTCAACAGATTCTTCAGCTGTATTTCAAGGTTTGTTACATTGAATCCCAGAAGAATCAATTAAAGTTCATGTTGTTAGAAACAGAAAAAATTATAATCACCAAGTAAGAGCATTCCTATAATCAATGATTCTATGATATCTCTCGGATGTTGTTTTTTACACAATGTTTATGTTCATATACAACAAAAATCAAGCTGATACGAGTGTGTGTTCTGTTCCTTTTTTTTCCCTTATTTTTGTTATCTAGGCCACCGATATCTTGTTCACACGTACACTGGTGACAAGAGAGGAGCTGGAACTGATGCTAATGTTGTAATTACCATATTTGGAGAAGATGGTGACTCAGGGGAGAAGAAGTTGGATAACGCAAGAAATAACTTTGAACGTGGAAAGTAAGCGGTGTATTTAAAGACTAACTGCAAATATGTTTGTGACATGTATGAATGCAGTACACTTCTCGTAATAGCTCTTGAGGGATTTCTTATAAGCCTCAGACTGTATTACCATAAAAAGAAATATATAATGGCCGCTTTGTAGAGAATAACAACTTGGTTGGCTCCGCACTGAAATATTTCTCTGGACATAGAAATGATGTTAGCATACTCCTTGAAGGAAGGATTGCCATCAAATTCATGGGATGTTCCTACACATATTTTGGCATCAGAGTGATTCGATGATACATACATTTAGCCAAGCCTAAAAGCGGAGCACGCCTTTTTTTTCCCGCACGTCTCAAGGGCACAACGCCTTGCCCCGGCCAGGACTAGAACCCGGGTCGTCCGACTCGGAGTCCAGTGCACTGACCACTGAACTACTGGACAAAGCCGTGGCGTTGGCGTGCCCGCGGTACACTTGACCACGCATGTTAAAAGTAGCACCTTGTACGGTCGGACGGTCGTACATCCAAATTTTTTCGGCTTGATGAGTTACTGCTATTTTTTATAGTACTGGAGCTACGCTCTGCGAGCTCCGCTATTATTTCAGATCTGTTATAACCTTACCAAATTTATTTGTTACATGGAAAGTCATCAGGAGAAGTTTCCGTTTGATTGTATCTGAGAGTCAAAGGGTTGCAGCTGTATGTCACTGTGCTCTATTTTCAGGAAAGATTCCTTTAAGGTCATTTGTGGAACAAGTCTTGGACGCCTGACCAAGATAAGAATTGGACATGATAACAGTGGATTAGGGCCTGGCTGGTTTTTGAACAAGGTTAGTTCATTTGATAACAGCCATCGTGTAGATGTATACAACACAAATAAATAGAACTTTTCGCATGCGCTGACTTAGCTGGTTCGGAAGTGATTAGCTAGCAATGTTCACCTACCGGCGGCTGAGGAGAGAAATCGCGCAACAAGAGTTTTATTTTTGACCATTTCTCGGTATACAGATAGAAATAGGCAAAGTTGTTGGTTATTTACTTAAACAATTATTCACCTTAGCTTCTTTTAAAGTGGTGGACATTCACCTCCACTTCGGTAAATTATTCTTTTGAAAGTATATTGTCAGTAGCGATAAGTCAATTACAGTGTACTGCTTGATGTCACCAACGAAGTTTTCACGTTGGAAATTAGTTTTATTTCCACTTGTTTCTTTTTCCAGGCAACTGTCGAGGATCCCAGTACAGGAGAAGCTGTTGATTTTCCTTGCCGACGCTGGTTTGCTAAAAATGAAGATGATGGTCAAATCTCACGTGAACTGATCCGAGCAGACGCCAAAGATGGTGATTTAGTTGTTGACAAAGGTCAGAGCTACTTTCTTGTCGATCGTAACAAATGTAACAGAGTAATTTAGTATTATCAACTGAGTTGATAACGTAAATTAGCAACCATAAAGAGTTGACGTTTCAAATGTAGATGATCATGGTAACAAATGTAACACAGACGTTGGTTATGAAACAGATTCACGGCGGGCTTTTGTCATCATACGACCTTGAGTAGAGAAAAAACACTTTTTTCGCTAATTAATTCAATCCTATTTTGCAAGAATGCTATACGCTTTCAAATTTTAACCAAAAAAATATGAAAAGGCTAAATGGTAGAAAGTTGAAAAAGTGTTTTGCGCAACCTTTGCTTGCGAGGATATTGAGTATCCTAGAAATGATCTCCATCAGAATTTCCATACGGTACTCTATCGAACGAAGGAAGACATTGACTTCCGAAGTTGAAGTTGTCAAAGTTCATAGAATGTGGTTTTGTTTTTGAACTGGTAGGAATTCCCTATCATATTCATGTCACAACTGGAGACGTCAGAAATGCGTCGACTAATGCACGTGTTTATGTCATCCTTCACGGAGGGGAAGACGGCGAAAACAACAGTGGCAAACTGTGGCTTCAGAATGAAGAGAAAGACAACTTTCAAAGGGGAAGGACGGACATTTTTACTGTAGAAACAGCAGAAATGCTGAGTCCCTTGCATCATTTAACCATTGGTCATGACAATAGTGGTCTTGGTGCAGGATGGCACTGTGAGAAGGTAACTGAAATTTATGTATTAAACTGTGTATCAAAACCAAAGAAATAACAATGCGGAAAGAAGGGAAAATAAAAATTAAAAGGATCAATAGTTAACGAAGACACCCTCAAGTGAGCAAGAGATGCAACAGACCAAGTGCCAATTGGTTTTAACCAAATTGCACCTGACTGTTTTAGAGGGTTCGCAACATACATGGATCAATCACAGAGCGCAAAACAGAAAAACTATTGTAATGAGTAACCCATGCAATTGAGTTCCCTGTAGTCCCGCTGCCTTCACATGACTCTCACATAGCTAGAAGGATGTGTGAAACTGCTACGCAAGCCATGTAGAGTTTTCATCCTGCATTGATTGACAATGGTTAGAAATGCCCAATTTTTGAGTGTTTTGTTTTTCCCTCAGGTGGTTGTCGACTGCCCCAGCAGTGGAGATCAGCAAGTATTTTTGTGTCAGAAGTGGCTGGCCGATGATGAAGGAGACCAATTGATTGAGAGAGATCTCTTTGAGTCTGAAGATATGAGATTGAAAAGACGGCCAAGTATGATTCACAGTGTTCCCTTTATTTTTGTTTCATGAAAACTGATATCCACCTAGAAGTGAACAATTAATTCTCAAACGTCAGAGAAAAATACTACGCATTTGTAAATTCAAAAGCATTTGCTTCGCACCTGTCCATATACATGTAAGCAATGAACACGAGAACGTCAGGTCATTTCGGTTTTGTATTCCTGTTGAATGTCGTAGTCAAGGCAGTGCAAGGACAAACGATAGACTACGCATAAAGTTATGGTATTTTTTGGAGGATAATTTTTGTGTACTAGGGGCTGGTTTTTCTAGTACAGGATTTAAAGGTCAATCTGGTTTTGTTTTCTCAAGTATTGAAGCGGTTATTCCAGCTAAAACTCGCTCTGTGAGGTTTCAACTTAGTGCAGGGGTAAAGCAAGATAAATCGTGTTTTAAACAGCCAGGCACAATACTGTTGTGAAGAGGAGGACTTCACTGGGGAAAGGTGCTAAAATGAGAACCGTTGGTAAGGGTGTTTTTCTTTTTCGGACAGAAACTGTGTGGAATGTCTGGCTATGGACAAGTGACATGAGAGGAGCTGGTACAGATGCTAATGTGTTTATGACATTGTACGGAGACAAAGGCAAGACTGATGAGGTACCGCTTGGAAATGCCACTGACAACTTTGAGCAGGGACAGCTTGATAAGTTTAAGGTAAGTTCTGATCACTCTTCTCTTCTGTTGTCCAAAGTGCTCTTTATATTCATGGAAACTTTTTCCACGTTTTGCCTCCCTGTTGAGCAGCTTATATTCTTGTTTAGCGGTTCTTAATCACATGCATAATTTGATCATTGCCATGTATTCAAACTTACACAAAACAATATTTCCTTTGTCATTCCTCAATGTTCTGTGTTTTTTTTTTTTCTTTTTATGTTAGGTTGAACTGACTAGAGTCGGAAAACCATACAAGCTGAGAATACGACATGATAACTCAAAAGCGTTTTCTGACTGGCATTTGGAAAAGGTAAGTCCGTCTGTCCGCCTGTGTTTTGGTACACTTATCTGTCCCTCCGCCTGCCTGCCCGTCCGTTTGTCTTTACGACCTTCTATCCAACCGTCGATAAATTTATCGATCAGTTGATCAATCAGTTAATCAACGAATAGAATAATCGATAACAACTTTGAGTTTGCGTATAGTTTGCGCATAGTTTACGAATGTGCTGGTACATTGTAATAGTAAAGACTTGATTTCTACTTTGTTCTGTTTTTTATTTTTTTTGTTTTAAAACGTTTTGTGCGATCAATGGATAAGAAAGAACTAGACCTAAGGGCGTAAAAGAGTCTTTGGGAGCTTCTCACGCGTAATACTCTTTACGCGCTCGCCGCGCTCGCCTCGCGTTGGATTCCGGCTGCATAAAAAATGCCAAAGATGGCGCCTGTTCAGCACACCACTAACTTCGTATTCTTTGCAATGAAAACAGAGAGAAGTTGTGATAGCACCGTTCATTTAATGATAGTCATAGCCAGCTGGGGCTGTGTTTATTTAACGATGAACACTCTTCCTTTTGTGGATCAAAATGCATTCACATTTTGATATGAAAAGGTAGACCATGAAACAAGCTTACCAAATGTCGGTTTGATTTATTTTGCTTAGATCCAAATGGAAAATGTCAAATCAAGTATTAAGTGTTCTTACAAGTGCAACCGCTGGCTGTCTAAGAGTGAGGACGACCATCAGATTATTCGTGAACTGCCAGCAATCATCCAAGGAAAAGAACCTTTACCTGGTAATGAATAAATTCAAAGTTTTATTAACAACGACAAAAACAGCAATTCTTGCTTTCTTTAGGTGTTGAAGCTGATGAAAATAATGAAAAATGATAGTAATAATAGTAATAATAGTAATAATAAATGTATGTTTGAACTTAGATTTAATAGAGCACAGCTACTACCAGCTAATTCTTTAAAAATTAAACCAGCCAATTCATTTGAAGCTTCTTATGAAGATAATCTTGATTTAATGTGCGTTTTTTGTTTTACTCTTTTTAATCTTTTCAGTGTACGTTTACCATGTTTATGTCCACACCGGTGACAAACGAGGCGCTGGTACAAATGCCAATATATTTTTAAATATTTTTGGTGAGTTGGGGGACACCGGTGACAGACCTCTTGAAGAATCAAACACTAACAGGAACAAATTTGATAGAAATCAGGTAATTTGTAAAATATTTTGTTTTCGTACTGTTGATATTTCTTTGAAGCTGGGTCATGCGTTAGGATCAGTCCAAAAGCATCAAGACATCGATAGTGAGTGTTTCTTCGTAGCTGGTTTTTTTCTCTACTCGCCTGAACGGCTATAAATTTTGCGTAAAGTTCTGCGTGAATCTTGAATTCGTAATCTTTCAAACATATTCTGCATTGTGTGGACAAAAACAAATCACGCAGCGGTGTTTTATCTCAATGTAAGACAAACTAGAAGAGTACAAAGTATTAATAAGAAACCTCTCTAAAACAATCCAAGACTTGCATTAATCGTGGGTAAGCTTAACCATGTTTTCCAGAACCATACATGTGCACGTAATTGCCCCGTTGAGAGTGTTTTCCGTGATATCCAGTTTTGCGCGCAGTTATCAACTGTGATGTATGTTGACCTCTTTACTTGTGTCTGAAGGTGGATGAGTTCCTTATCGAAGCAGTGTCACTAAAAACCCTCGAAAAAGTCCGTGTGGGCCATGATTCCACTGGACCCGGATCAGGATGGTTCCTAGATAAAGTTGTGATAAAGGATCCTGAGGACAACACCAAGGAATATGTGTTCCCTTGCAACAGGTTTGTTATGAATATCTATCACGGAAACCTTTCCTTCGACTGACGTTATGACTACGTATGACTACGTTACGATTACGTATTGGGCGTTCATTTGTTTCGTGGGCTCACTTGCAGGCCTTATTGGCCCACTCTGGGACAGGGTAATTATTGGGAGGAGGAGATGGGCTTACGGTAAGACTCTTTTCAAAGACAAATCGCATATTCGGGACGGGTTGCATGCATGCACTGTATCTCGTCGCATTTCCTTTCTCCTTTGAGTTTTTCGGTGGCATACCCTG